TAGCTTTTTGTTCTCAGTTTTTATGGGGATAGTAATAACAGAACCTGACGCTGAAGAGCTTCCTGCTGTATATGTCCACAAATTAATGTCTTGTTTAAAATAACGAGTTAATTAGATTTTTATCATCATATGGGCATTTTCTGAAAAAAGTTAATTGAGATGAAAAGGTGCGCTCTTGTAATTGACCGTTGTTACTACGGCGCTATTATTACCAGAAACTGGTTGAAATTTCACGCTGTTATTACACTAGTTTTTATCTGTTACTAATTTCCTTTGGCCTAGTTCGATAATAACCGTTTTTGGTGAGCAGGCAATTTGTTTATTACATTAACCTATAACTGGTGCGGATATAGGACGAGGGCTCAACCCCTTGATATGCTGAGGACCAAATACATGCTCAGCTTACAAACGTCATGCAGCGTCCTTCCATAACTGTGTACTCAATGCACAATCTGTTTCCGAAAATACTGGTCGAGCAAATCGCATGTAAAGTTTTTGACTTTAGAACTGTTCTAAATGAATGCTTTCTCTGCTACAACCTTCTCATGCACCACCAAACTCATTCGAGTACAGCAGGGTTATTTCTTAGTGAGCCGCATACAGCAGTTACTAGATTTTCACCAGGGTTGTCTAAACTAATAACTTTGGATAGTCTCATGAAGAATAAACTAGGGGATTACTTCTGAAAGAATGAGGCCTATTTATTCAAAACTAAGTGGCGTTTAGAAAATTGTCAAGCGGTACTTGAGGTTCAGATGCACGATAAATGCTCCAGATGGTGTATAAACGGTAAGAAACACAAACGTGGTAGGCAATTTAAAAGCAAACTGAATGGAAAGAGTACTATGGATGGCCCAATAACACTGACAAACACAGGATTTGTGACATGGCAGTTTTTGGGTGTATCATGTATTTTGAGACTCTCAAATCAAATATAAAAACAGAATTTTTCTATCACCCACAGATATTCGGTAACATCCACTTCTATGAATTACAATACGTAACATCTCATATTGCTTCATTTCTCTGCGTTTATGCGATAACGCACATATATAATGTTAAGACCTGTCTGTTTCTGTTTATTATAGGCGAGCTCTATATTTAGAGAGCATAATGCGTTTATTAGTAGACTAATAGCAGCCAAGTCAGTTACGTTTTCTGTGTTGAAGAGTACTGAGATGTTCTGAGTACTGTTAATTTTTGTTAAAACGGTGTGTCGTTTTTAGATTATTGTGATCTAGACTAGCTTTATGGACAATGCTCAAAGATTGTGTAAATTGTGAGAACAGTTTTTGTTATGTGTGCGGAGAGCTAACTTTTAAATCTCAAAAACGTACTTTTACTCCTCTTGTGTACGAACTTTATTTTGTAATTAAAGTTGGCGACCAAGATAAACTATGGATATGTCGTAAGACTTGTGTAACGTTGTTAACAGGTTGGTTAAGAGGCGACAATCGTAAAATGCCTTTTGCGGTACCAATGCTTTGGAAAGAACCGAGAGACCATACTACTGATTGCTATTTTTGCCTCACAAATATTAAAGGTATTGGACCAAAATCGAAACATTCTCTTAACTATTTTAATTTACCATCAGCTTTGCGACCCGTTAAGCATAGTGATGAACTTTCTGTTCCAGTTCTACCAGAATCTTGATCTTTGGATGAAAAAGTCGAATCCACCGATTCTGAAAGTGATGGTACAGACAATGTGAAAGCGGACAATTATAAAGATATTGTGAGTGAACTAATTAATGCTTATAAAGGAGTGGGATGTAACATGTACCTAAAAATTCAGTTTTTGGATTCTCACCTCGATTTTTTTGCAAAAAATGTAGGTGCGGTAGGTGATGCACATGGTGAACGGTTCCACCAAGACATTTCTGCTATGGAAAAACGATATCAAGGCAAACGGAGTGTCAATCTGCTTGCTGATTATTGCTGGAGATTGTTAAGAGATACTTCAGGAGCAACATATCGCGGTAAAGCATCGACAACAACATTCTGAGATTAATGTTTATTCGAGTGTACTCTTCCTTATATCTTACGAGTATAAGCAACAAATAAAATGCCTTATTGCAATAAAACCGTGGGTGAAAAATTTAATGCCATTTCCGGTTTTTTGGGTACGTTTTACATAATAACCACCTTGTTCTTTCCATGTCACAAAAAATTATTTTAATTTTATATATAGTATTGAAAGTTGTATTCTATTTGTTTTAGACGCGTTTGTTGCTCTGAAATACAGGAAGAATTGTATTTGGGCAGATGAATATTCATGTAAACAAATATAACCTGATACCTTCCACACAATCAGCCATAGACGATGGTGGCGTTACAACATGCGTGATGCTAGACCTGACTAAAGCTTTTGACTGCATAGATCATAGATTTCGTTAGGCAAAACTGTAGCTTTTGGATTTTCTGCATCATCTCTTGCCTGGTTCTCTAGTTATCTATCTGATGGTCTTTTACAAGCCAATACCAAACTGTCAAGAGACGTACATACTGCAAATCCATATTTCTCAAGACATTGATTGCATATAAGCCCAAAAGTAACCCGTCATTATCTTTAAATCCAGGCAAAGCAATTTTAACAGTAAAGTTATTAATTTGGATATAGGAGGTGAGCCACTCAATCATAAAATGCAGATAAGAAATTGTGTGTTTTTTGACTCATCGATAACATTCCATGACCATGTCACAAAAATGGTACAAGGCTCATATAGCGCTTTGAAAAGCAGATATAGTTTCAGACACGTACTTTCCGAATCCTCCGAAGTTAGGTTAACTAGGCCGTTTATTCTAAGCACGGTGGACGGTACGTTAGATTTGTCGGTCATACACTAAATATCCCTGTTCACAGGACAACTAATTTCAAAAAATCATTCTCTTATATAGGATCTGTATTGTATAACAAAATATCGCACTCATTCAAGCAACTACTAGTAGAACAGCAACGCCATAGTCTAAATGTGAGGACTAATGAGTTGACAAGTTTTAGTTTAGTATCACTTGTTACGATACACTAATACCTCCAAAGCGAATTGTATTTATAACATATCCTGAGCTTACTCATAGTATGATTTTCGAAACTTAAGTTTTATCCAGTAATATTTCCAAATTTTCAGCTTCGTATAAAAATTCAATGGCAATACTCCTAAAATTTTATTTGTGTTTACTGCTTCTTTAGGTTTGTGAATTGCTAATTTCGAATCAATAAAACAGGCGTTGGTTTTTGAGGAGATAATTTTCAAACAATAGTTTTTGTAACAATATTCAATTATCTTTTAGTTGGCGTTGAGTTTTTCTATCACGGAATTTACATTATCTGGTTGTCATGCTTTGCATATTCATACATCATCTGCGTACAGATGTACATTCCAACCAGTTGAAATATGGGCTATCAAATCTGAATTGTAGAGAGTAAATAAAATAGGGCTTCGTGCAACACCAGAATCCACAGATTTTCAGAATAGACACTTTATCGTAGACATTTCCACATTGAAATCTACCAGATGATAGCCACAGCAAGGCATTTCTCGTCAAACTATAAAGTTTTTATTTCTTACATAAAATGCTGTCGAATGACATGCCTAACATCACACTGCTAATGTTGTCGTGCCATCATCTATCAACTTAACTATATTTCTAGACCTTTTCAAAAGAGCTCTTGAAGTATCAAATATTTTCCCAAATACGGATTGGGTGTCAGTCAATACTTTGTTGAGTTTTAGGTGCTCAAAAAGTTCATCAACCACAATCTTCTATACTAGTTTCCACATTGCAGGTAAAGCGCTTATTAATCTAACGTCCTTCAAATGTGTAGCATTATTGATTTTTGCAAGTGGTGTTATAATACTCGTAGACTCTTTCCACAGACGTGGCGCTTCTCATGTACTCAGCGATTGGTTGGTGAAGTTGCACAATACATACAATACATTCGACTTCACTTCTTCCAATTTCAAATGAGGATTTAGGTACAATAAAACTGTTCTGCCCCGAAAAAGTGACGAGAAATAAGTTATCTGGTAGAACGGTTGATAAAGAATTAACAATGTTATTATTGTCTTCATCATCATCATCATTGGATAAATCTTTTCGAAGTTGCTTAGGTTTATATTATTATAATATTATGTAAGCTGCTTTTTCATTCGTCAATGCTATACCTGAATAATTTCTCGGATCGGTGTAATATGCACAATGCTCTTCACTTCTGGTATTTCTAGACTTGTGTTATTTTCGCTTCAAAAGTATTAAACATTTGATTGGATGTGTTACGTAAGGTCTGTAGTTCTTACGTGAAGTAACTCTCTTTACTGAAGCATATAATATGTCATATAGCAAAACAATGCTTTCGGTGACTTGGAGACCTTTGACATCAAGATTTGGCAAAGTATCTATTTAACTCCTTTCTGCAGAAGTAGCATCTCTAGCAAATTCATCAAAGTCGAACTGGGAAAAATATCTGCAATAAAATATTGTAGGCTTGTATTCTGTTTCAACTCACAGAAGCACAGATCAATTACTTCTGGCATGTCTAGGGTTCCGCTCTTGTATGTAAAGAGTGTATTCGTTGCAAAAATTATATCGATCGTTGTTGCTGAATTGACTGTTATACCCGTCGGCTCATTAATGGCTTGGTTTAAGTCGAATAATGTCATCATTTGCAAATACTGTTTACTTTGGCCAGTAAGATTGATATTGATATCGCCTAGTAGTAACACATCGTGAGCAACGTATAAGAAAGCAAGGATATGTTCCAAATCAGTTCAGTGGACTAGACGGTGGTCTGTAAATAATGCCTACAGCAATATTCCTACTCTCGGTTTTCACTGATAACCATTTGAAGACCTGCTCGTAAGATATATAACCTTTTATTTCATGTTGGAAGAATGTGTATAGAATCCAGTGTACCTCCTGTTCCTTGCCTGTAGTTCCGCATACGTTGGTTGTAGAGCCGAGGGACTATACGAGGTGGGCGCGACTTTATTTAAGGCGGACTCTCACTACTCGTCTATTTGGCAAGTACGCCAATACTTGTCTCTTTGTCAAGTACATCAAGGTTGAACTCACTTTTTCAATTACGACGCTCTCACTACTCCTGTATTTCGCAAGTACGCTAATATTTGTGTATTCGGCAAGTACAGCCGGTTTCGTCGCCTATCGGGCCTCAGTATTAACTTTGTTTCTATCATGGACGGTCGCGTTGTCGCTGCAGCAGCGTTTGTGGTATTGAGTGGCTGCATAAGAAGAACTAAAGCTCATCAAGCTCAGAAGGCAAAAGAAAAAGATGGTGGATGACTTCTTTGAACAGAAGTCGAGAGAGGTAAGTTGATACCTCTATCTGTCTTGGTCGACCAAAAGCAGATACCATATCTTCATATTCTCAAATTTAATACACTAGTCAAAGTTGGTTTTTCTTTTTGCAGGTACAATGCCTCCATGATGATAGAGGACCTGATTCGAGAACCGTCAGGAATGCTAGATAATTTCTTGCGAATGTCCTACAACGACTTCGTATTTCTACTGAATAAAGTGGGACATATGATAGAGAAAAAAGATACTCGGATGAGAAAGGCAATTCCAGTTAAGGAAAGGTTCTGCGTTGCGCTCAAGTTCTATGCTAGTGGAGACAGTTTTATGAGTTTGTCGTATCCCAATGTGTTTTAGACATTTTCGATGCATTGATTAGCATTCTCAAGGATCAAATAAAAGTAAGTATACAACAAAGATTTATTTATTTAGTATGTAATACAACTTATTGTTACGAAATAAGGTCAAAGCATAGTCAAATTAAAGTATTGTCAAAGATTAGTATTATTTTCTGTTAGAATGGACATATCATTGCATGTAGTTGTTGGAATCACAGGAGCAATAGACGGTTGGTGGACGGAAGAAGTTGAGGAATTTAGTCGCAAAGAGGTTATCGTCGGAGTTGTATGAAAAGCTTCATCAGAAGATGATGAATGAAGAGATGCTGGGGAGGCTAGTTCTGGAAATGTTGGTTTATATTGAGGTTCCGTCGATGACGAATAGAAAGAAGCTGGGGAAGCTGATCCTGGAGATGCTGATTGATATTGGCGTCCCATGGACCTCATTGTAGCCCTGACTAATACGTTATCAATCTCGTTCTTCACAATAATCCTGTTCACGTCGCTTAACACCTCTATCTAGTGTACCTCCTCTTCCTTGCCTGCAGTTCCGCATACGTTGGTAGGTCGGCAGAGAAGTCAAATCAGAGGAGAAGTCGGAAGAAAGCCATGTCTCTCTGATAGCTATGATGTGAACATCTTGTTGCAGTATGCTGTCTGATATCATGTCAAAGCTTGAGATCAGCGACCTAATATTGACAAGAGATACATTTAGGATGTTGTCTTTGGTGTAGCTTCTAAGTCAGAATGTGGTTGCTATATAGAATAATTAATATTGTTCCTAGCTGTACCAATGTTTTTCGAGAACAAGTAACTGTATCGAAAGCAGAAAGAACAATACTAGGGTTCAACTTGATTTTTGGGTGGAGATCACAATTTGGAAAAAACACTTCAGATTTACACACATCATTTGGTTGTTGCGCGTACTCTGCTCCTACTGGATAAATTAAATTTATTTTCAAATTTTTAAATTCAGTAATCACTGTTAAAAGGTCACATCAACTAAAGCTTCATCTACGCAAATCATACAGGAAATAAACTCACGTTTAAGTTAAAACTGGTCAGTAAAATAGCTTAAATTCTAGTGGTTCTGGGAACCTCAACAAAATGTCCTGGTACCGTTCTATTAACCATGACTCACCAGCATGCGCGTGATTTGTACTTACTAAATGTCCAGTCTTTACCTGAAACAAACAATGGCTATTAGAATCAGCATTGGAACTAACGATGGGTGGGTATACACTGTAAATAAGTCATGTGGCACTTTGTGCTGTGATGTTTCGATAGTCTTCAGACTTCGGATACTTCGCGTACAGGATACCAGTGCTCCACTACCGTTTATTACCTAGAGATATAACCGTGCTGATCATTGGAAATATGTATGAAACAGAGCTGTAGACGGTCGGCCCTCTGTTGATCGGACGTACGAAAGCAGTGATCTTGAGAAGAGCATAGGTTCACGGAGCTGCTGTATTGGTTACAAGATTGATTGATCAAGGTATGATAATATGAATTAATTTTGTCGATTTTGCTTTACACGACGGTATGACAAAAAATAAATGGCAATCCCTACTTTTGGAAGTTCTGCAGCAGTTCTATAGCAAGAAATAAATGGCAAATCCTACTTTCTAGTGTTAATAAGATGGCGTTTATGGGTTTTTGATTAGACCTTTTGTTTCCTAAAAAGCATCTATCTGCAAACGAATTCCTCCAAGCGCAACCATATTACATTTACTGCAGAATCTGGAGCAATTTTCAATTCTCTTATGCGATAATAGAGTTGTGAATAGGTTTCACACGTTTTGGTCCCGAGTTTATCATGACGCTACCTGCTTTGAAAAACTCCACATACTTCCAAACCCCATATATATCCAGGGACTGTGACCCGTTTGAAGATGTCACGTGTTTTTTGACTGGGCAAAGGTGAACTGCAATTACGCCAGCCACAAATCTGTCTAGTTCACATAGCTGTGACTGTTATCAAACTTCATGTTTAAAAGAATTTCGATACATAAATCGAGAAATGTAACTGTCTCTATGAAGCAACAACTATACAAACTAACTGCTTCAGTCATTGCAGTAATAAATGCTTAACTTAATCGAGGTTTTATCAAAATAATAAAAAACTCGACGAAGATGCTTAACAATAAATTAGCCCGCGAGTTGAGGTCGGAATGGTAAAATGATACCGAATACTGAGGAGGAATGTCTTGGAACACAACAGGGAGTCCAAGTGAATACGAAACTTTTATTATAGTTTGTAACACAACCAGAATACGTGTAAACCTCTGTTTATTATCTACATATTTTTGAATGTTAAACGCTTTATACCTTTTTCTCTCCCGGGCTATCCGTGGTCCAGTCGCTGTTTCTTGGAAAAATATTAATAACTGCTATGCCACCAAGAAATACGAATTTGTATGTGAAATGTCTGGAAAGCCTGTGCGTCTTATCTTGACTGGGATCGGTCACACCGAGTGAGTTGTTCTTTTGATTTGTTTATTGTATATTTAATTCTAATAGTGGTTTGTCAACGGGATGCCCAGATGTTATAAGCAGCACCGGTTCGTGGGCTTGCTATCACCGGGCTGCGTGACTAACAACTACCACTACTAGTACAGTAACAAATTTATACATAGTTTGTCAGTATCATTCTTTGGAAACCTAATTGATCAAGAGATTTTCCAGCATACTTTGAAACTGGCAAAGTGATTTATTTTTGAATTATTCAACCACTCATGGTGTTTTAAAGTTTCCTACCTGACGATTAATCTAAACCAATCAGGTAAAGCGCCAAGGAAACGTTATATAGTTAAAGTTATAGTTAAGATAGACATTTATAGTACAGAAAAAAATAATTACACTAGGATGATAGAGCAGGGTACTTTCAAAGCATGTGAAGAGAATCCAAGCAGTGCACATCGTCTGCTATGAGGAGCTGAAAGAAGGTTTGTTACGATGGATGTCTTTTTAGTTTTGCATATGGAAATAAAACAACACGGTAGGTAGTTTTAAATGACTTTATTGTTTTTCGAAGTATTCTCCACGAAGATCAATACACATCTGCATGCGCTCGAACCAATTTTCGAAGCACTTCTTCCACTCGTTTGCTGGCAGGCCCAAAACGGCATTTTTGAATGCATCAACTGCTTCTTCTGGTGACTGGAACCTATGACCACGCAGTCTGTTTTTAAGTTTCGGGAAAGTAAAGAAATCGTTAGGACTTCGAGATCGGGACTATACGGAGGATGGTCCAATAATTCCACGTTTTCTTCCGTTAAATACTGCCTTGTTTTTTGGGCTGTGTGCGAGCTTGCATTGTCTTGGTGGAGGATGATTCTTCTTTCGGGGCTGATTTTTCGAAGCTCGGTGATGACTGTTGGCAAACAAGTGGTGGTATAGCAATCCGCTGTAACAGTTCTTTGCTCTTTGCTTTTGACACAAATGTCGCGACCATCTTTTTCGAAACACTTCGAGAACGGATGACTTTTGTTGGCTTTTCTTTACCTTGGAACACCCAAACAGTCGACTGTCGTTTATTTTCTGGTTCATAACAGTAAATCCACGATTTGTCACCACTAACAATGCTGTAAACATTTTTTGAGTTTCCGGAATTGAAACGGTCAAGCGTCTTTTGACACCAATTAACCCTGGCTGCTTTCTGCTCTTCAGACAACAGGTGGGGTATCCAAAGAGAAACTAATTTTCTTACTCCTAATTCTTCATAAATTTTTTTTGAATTGAGGTCTTTGAGATCTTCAAGGACGCCTCAATCTCGCGTTATGTCACATGTCTATCCTCAATGATCAGTTTCCGCACAGCATCGACGTTTTCCTGGGAGACTGCCGTTTTTGGTGCACCCACCCTGGGATCGTCGCTAAGACTCGTCCACCCGTCCACGTTTGATTTCTCCATACCATATTTAGTATGTAATACAACTTATTGTTACGAAATAAGGTCAAAGCTAAATCAAATTAAAGTATTGTCAAAGATTAGTATTCTTTTCTGTTACAACGGACATATCATTGCATGTAGTTGTTGGAATCAGAGGAGCAATAGACGGTTGGTGGACGGAAGAAGTTGAGGAATTTAGTCGCAAAGAGGTTATCCTCGGAGTTGTATGAAAAGCTTCATCAGACGATGATGGGGCTGGTTCTGGAAATGTTGGTTGATATTGAGGTCCCGTCGATGACGAATAGAAAGAAGCTGGAGAAGCTGATCCTGGAGATGCTGATTGATATTGGCGTCCCATGGGCCTCATTGTAGCCCTGAATAATACGTTATCAATCTCGTTCATCACAATAATCCTGGTCACTTCGCTTAACACCTCTAGCCTCTTAGCTAATTGCCCATATGCAGTACAAAGTGTGGTTTTGGGTGGTTCGGTGTTTTGAGTTTTCTTCAGGATTTCAGAGACTTCTTCCATACGACGGTTATTCTCCTCCATGTCCACGGTCTTCCTTTTATTCTTCTTTGAGCAACCAACTGGTGCCTTGAAATGCTTTTGGTTGCTTTTTTCGAGCCCACCCTCTTTGTTCGCTAATGATGATTCCGTGTTTGCCGCGATTTCGTTACCCCCATCCTCACTTGCAGAAACAGATTCCGTGAGTATATCTTCTACGGTTTCCTGTCCATCCATGCTATCCTCCCAATTCTGAAATTGAAGAAATGATTTTATAGCTTCTAAGCATGATTTATCATTATAATTGAAGAAATTAACCGTACAAATTCCAGCGACACATTACAGGGCAACAAAATACGCAGCGTTCTCATAATTTAACTGAAGCCGTAGTATAGTAGGGGATTCCAATGATGTACCTCGAAGTATATTCATTTGTACCGCTGATTAAATATTCCTATTTAGTATTTTTTCATTTATTTCAAATGCCGAGAAGTTCCAATGAATGAAAAGAAAAATGCAGATGAATTCCAAACTGGGTGGAATTTGGCTCATTGCTTGGGAGTTATAGACGGGAAGCATATACTGATTCAGAGCCCAATTAATACTGGATCAGATGAAAGAGTCTTCAATTACCGGTTGTCTCGTGGTAGGCGTATTGTTAAG